TAAGCATGGTAGTGTTAGTGTGAGCAATAGCATGGTAGCGTGAGCGTAAGCATGGTAGCCTTAGCGTGAGCATTAGCATGGTAGCGTGAGCGTAAGCATGGTAGCATTGGCGTGAGCGTTAGCATGGTAGCGTGAGCGTAAGCATGGTAGTGTTAGTGTGAGCAATAGCATGGTAGCGTGAGCGTAAGCATGGTAGCGTTAGCGTGAGCATTAGCATGGTAGCGTGAGCGTAAGCATGGTAGCATTGGCGTGAGCGTTAGCATGGTAGCGTGAGCGTAAGCATGGTAGTGTTAGTGTGAGCAATAGCATGGTAGCGTGAGCGTAAGCAGGGTAGCGTTAGCGTGAGCATTAGCCTGTTACCGTGAGCATAAGCATGGTAGCGTGAGCGTGACCATGGTAGCATTAGCATGGTAGCGTTAGCATGGTAGCGTTAGCATGGTAGCGTTAGCATGGTAGCGTTAGCATGGTAGCGTTAGCGTACCGACGTGGGCACACCTCCCTGAAGAAGTGGGTGGATTGCCTGTGTCTCATTTGCATTTAAAGAGACAGGCACTCCAAAGCCAGCGCTCTGAACGGGGCTGTTTTGGGTTAGGGTTAGGGTTAGGGTTAGGCAGGGGGACTGAACTGCTATTGGGCTTTATCCTTATGGGATTCTGACCAAAGCTTGGCACAGACATTACATTAGGACTCCAGGGAACTAACTTAACTTGTTGAAGTAAGATAGAATATGTCTCCTTTAAAATCCAATGAAAATGATAAATCACAAACAGTTTTATAGAAGGGAACAGTTGTCAGGGTTTCTGTCTGTCAGGAACTAGGCAGCTAGGATTCAAGATCTCAACTAAATCCCAAAAGAAGGACAAATTTATGTGAAGGATTCAAACCCAGTTCATTTCACACAGAAAACCTCCATAAGGTCTTTGTATGGTTTGTTCCACTGTTCTGAGAGCTTTTGTTGTCCTTTGTGAGGAGTTCTTGGGATGCATAAAGAAAGAAATAAGAAACTTCAGGCTGAAGTTGCACACTATGAACAGCAGATGGCAGTGTTGCAGCACACACTCCCACCGGAGGGGGGCTTCAGGTCCCAAAATGACAAACGACAGTGCACATAATGACAAAAACCAGTTTAATAAAGACTCTTGATGAATGTAAGGTATAAGGCCAGAACACAGCGGGCTAGTTTTGGACACATGACCTACAAGGCTGACAGGTAATAAGAAACTAGACCAGCATTGTTCCAAATGACCGTCTCTCCGGGTTCCTGTGATCCAAACGGGGGAAAACAGGGTTACTGAACCACGGCTCGCATGTGAGATATAGATCATAAATTACCTGATTTAAGTTAAGAGACAGGAGGCTTTCATCAACACCATCTCAATACTCGCTTTACACACTGAAAAGTAAGAAATCGGCTCATTTCAACGCTGATCAGGGCAGATTAACACAAGAGAGGAAACAGATTAACTGTAACTGATGTACTGTAAGTCATCTTCACCCTGTTACAGAAAAACATCAGGACAAGACCTCCTGTAGGGTCAGTGGGTTTCTATGGGTACTCTGAAAAGAAAGCAAATCCAGAAGTGAAAAACTGAGGACCCCGGACCCTGTTGGACCCGGCTGGGTGCAGGCATGAACCCATCTCCACCCCGTTGGAAAAGTCACAACAACGGGATAGTGATGGTTTGGCTCCATTTGGCTGTTATTTTTTAAGGGAATGGCTGTTTCAAACCACTCGTGTCCCAGTTTCACACCAGAATGCGTCAAATCTGTATTGTTCATCAAAATCAATCAACTGGAATCAAGAAAACAATCACTTTGATTGGACCGCGCAGCAGTTTTTTCGTCTTGTCTTTTAGTAATGGCAGGCAGAGTTTTGAGGAACCGTTGTCCTGTAGGTGGAGGGCTTTTCTACTCTGGACACAGAAGGTTTGAAGAGCCAGAAGTGGTGTTAACTAACTAGATTTACACGAAAACCTCGGTGATTCCACAGCAGAACAAAGACTTTCCTGGCTCTTCTAAAGTTTAGGATCAGTTTGGTCTGATCTATTCTGCACATCCTCCTCCAGACGAGACTTTTAGTTTGAAGGGGCTGTAGATGACACCCTTGTGATCTTATTGAATGTGTGTTCCTCTCATTTTTCATTGGCCCACTGCTTCTGCTCTCATTTGATCTGCTTTGCCACGTCCAAATAGGCAAACTCGATCTCCCTCACAGCAGGACAGGTGCTGGTGAACTCCTCCCTCTGGTAGGCACTGTTCAAATACCTCCACACTCCCGTCATCTCCGCCGGGATTTCGAAGCTCCGATACTTCTTTGCTACGACCTGGAAAAAGAGCGACAGGTTAAAGTGGACCCTGCAGGTTTTGGATAAGTGAGAGCCCACAGGAGCACCTTCAGGATGTGGAGCTTGGGCAGCAGGTTGCAGTCGGCCAGGGTGAGCTCCGGCCCGTCCAGGAAGCTCCTGGAGGACTCGGGCAGGTCTCCTGAAGCATCCGCATCGATCTCATCAGCCAGAGGAGTCCTCAGGAAGTCGTCCAGCCGCCGGAGAGACTTCAGCAGAGCTTTCTCTAAGGCTTGAAATGGCAGAGGTACAATTCAATTCAATTCAATTCAATTTATTGTCATTGTCAAAAAAGGCAACGAAATTGTGTTTGGGGTACAATACTTAGTAGCAGCAAGTTCCAAGTAAAGTGCACAAGAGGTCCCCCAACACACACACACACGCACACACACACACACACGCACGCACACACACACACACACACACAAGATAAATACACCCTAATGATTAAGGCAAAACATTCAGACTTTAGGCAGTCCGTTCCTCAAAAAGTGCTGTGAGTTCAAAAGTCTTATGGCCTGGTGGTATAGGCTGTTGGCCAGTCAGTCTTCACCAAGCGTGAGATTCCACATACTTGTCCTATTGTTCATTGAGTTTTTTTTTCTTCGTCAAGGTTTCACCGTGCACGTTGGAAGCATGGTGAAACCTTGACATGTGAGTTTTATAATGGAAAAAGTTCTTTAAATGAGTGAGGCAAAGTTTCTTAATAGTTAGAGAAGATCGATCTTGTCCAATACAGACATTTATTCGAAGTTAACAGCGTTGGAAGACGCAGATCACAGAGTAAACCCAAGTGAGTGCGCGCCGATGGAAAGGCACGTTCACTTATATAACATAGTATGGATAAAGGAAAGGAAAAGGCCACTGTGTTTCTTATCAACAACAAAGAGATTCTGATTTACATTCAGTCCTCAGGAAGTCCCACGGAGAACCTCTAAAAGGACAGGGCTATGCTTACTCTCAGGAGACAGGAAGGGGCCCCCATGTGGATTGGTCAAAAGGAGAACCTTCTCAGGTGTGAGGATAGCACAAAGGGCAAATCGTACAATTTCAATGATAAACACAGAAATGGGAGATTCATCCTTAATGGGATTAAGGAAATTGTCGCATTTCCTACTGGTGCTAAAACCAGTCGCAATACGTACCAGACGACTCTCCCTAGAGGAATTAACAACCAGGTAGCCTTAGCAAAGAACCAAAAGAGAAAAATCTCCACGACAGTTTAATTTCCATGGGGGGAGGGGGGTCACTCTTACCGTCATTGGCGTCCTTTCTTGGGTTTTTGATGTAAGCTGAAAACTTGGCAAAGACATCAATCCCAGCTGTGTTGGCTTCAGGATGTCTGGGGGCTAGCCTGGGGTAGCTGGTAGGGACAGAGTCCAGAAAAGGGCTGAATACCTCTGAATATTTATCCTCTTTATCCCACTAAGCGGTCTACATCCTGTCGTACACGTTCCGGAAACAGTTGAGAAATAGAGTGTGCTTGCGTACCCTGGTGGCGTCAGTTTCTCCTCCAGGAACTCCTCCATCTTGTTGACGTCGACTTTGACCTCGCCGTTGAACGTCATGAAGGGGGGGTTGGTCCCCGGTGCGAGGTCCTGCAGGTCGGCCGGCTTTCTGCCAGAACAGAGGTCAAAGGTTAGAGTGGATAACCCCCCGGTGGACCGTTTCTACTGAGACCTAAACAAAAAAAACGCGCTCTACCGTTTTAGGTCCACCGTGGTGACGTTAAAGATGACCCCCTTCAGCCACAGGATCATGAAGAGTCTTTGAGAAAAGGGGCAGTTCCCGATGCTCTCGCCATCACTCCCTGCCTGTTCACACAAAACAACATGCAGACATCCATTTCCTGTCCCCAGGTATCACACTGTAGAGCAGGGGGGTCAAACTCCAGTCCTCGAGGGCTGCTGTCCTGCAGGTTTTAGAGGTTTACCTTTTTCAACACACCTGATTCACATCAAAGGGGCGTTAGACAGGTGCAAAGCTCAACAATGTCCAAAGGAGAAGCAGTTTAATAAGAATCAGGTGTGCAGATGCAGGAAAATGTCTGAAACCTGCAGGACAGCAGCCCAAAGAGGACTGGAGTTTTGACACCCCTGCTGTAGGGTCATGAGCAGGAGACAGGCGGGGTACCACCCACTGCTTCAGTCAGAATAACACGCCTAATCTGTAGCTACAGGAGGGAGAACAGAGAACCCACACAGAGAGAGCCAA